GGTGTTCTTGCTTTGTGAATACTGTGATTGTCTAGTGATGGGAGGGAAGGAGACGTGGAAGTGGAAGTGTAACTGCAGCAAAATCAGGTCTGTAAAACAACTGTAACGGAATGATGTTTTGTTTTTATTAAAGGAGTGTGTATCGTAAACAACTGAAATTCGTTTAATAAAATACATGCTTTCACTTTTTTGTATCCATTACAAGCTCCCTATGTGATATCTCAGATGCAGTGACAGGTCCTCTTTAGGGCTGGTGCACACCTAAGCGACACCCCACCGCGATTGCCATGCAGTCAGGAGTTGCCCAGGTGTGCACCGATTGCACTGTGGGTACCATTATTTTCCAATGGCACCCCAGTCGCAGCTGCGCGTCGTGTATCACAGAAAAAATTTACAAGTACCTCGTGCATGATTGCTGCGCGGTGGGGTGTTGCCTAGGTGTGCCCCGGACCTTATGGATACATCATTAGACCCCTAATGTCCCTTAAAGACCCCAAAGAATCTGATGAAGCAGAGATTGTACTTCACCAGCTTCTTCTCTGGCTACAGCAGCCAGAGAAATGACACACTGAAGTCGGAAGTGATGTAATTCACCGCTTTTAGTAATCGGAGGGGAGTTCAGCTGACGGAAGTATGCTGATCTCCCTCAGATCCATGTAAAGATAACCACCGTGCCAGTCCCGGGCCGGCACAGGGGACAACGGAGCCCGGAATAGTCGGCAGCGGAGGTGCGCGGTGGGTGGGGGCGCACACTTTCATGCACCATACCAGCGTTCAGGCGGCTCTATAGCTACCTGAACGCTTGTATGTAAACAACTATCGCCGGCTGTAAAACATATCTACGGTGTCCTGCTTGTGTGTGCGCTAGGGGGACACACAAAAGCAGGAACACAAAAGCTGTTTATTTATAGCGACCCGCATTCAAAAGCCAGCCATTCATCTGTTTATATACAACGGGCAGACGGCAGGTGGGTAATAGACGACCTATAGCAACCAATCAGGACCTGTATTGGCCTGACTACAACAGAGTGAATTCCGAATGGTTGTGATAGGTTGCTGTTTGCTTCAATAATATCTAAAACTATTGTATTTTGTTCATTTTGGATACAGAAGGGGATGGATAAAAATCATTTTTCGCCATCTGTGTCCCATTGGAGAGATTTCCCTTCACTTCCTGTCCTGTAGATGCAACAGGAAATGAGAGGAAATCCCTCTGAAGTGAGGTATAGCTCCTCTTAGACAGATGTCACCACAACAAGTGTCCCCATTAGAAGACTTCCCCTCTATTACTGTTCTGGTGGCTTAAAATGTTGTTTATTATTTTGTGATAATAGTTAGCAGGACAAATATAAAAGGTGAATATCCCCCGCAGGAATACGGACAGAAATAAAAACTTTACAGAGGATCTAACTCTATCCAAAACAAACAAAAGTTTTATCTTCGCACTTTAGGAGTCCACAAAGAGAAACTGAACCTGCCTTTTGATATTTTTTGTATGACTTCATATTACTATCATTTCAATGAAAATCCAGGGATGGGGTTGTGCCCCTTCTCTGACTCCTTTAGTTTTGACCCAAATAGCAAGATATTGAATCACACAAGATATTCTAATCATAGCAGTAAGCGGGGGAACAGAAGTGATGAAATGTATTCATGAGCGCAGTCTTTGGTGGCTGCAGTTTACACAATATTTCATATTTACATAACAAGAGGAAAGGTTATTTATTTGTTTTATTCCTAAACATAATGGGAGAATTTATCCAGTCTGGAGCAGACAGAATCTGGAGCAGTAGAAGCCAATCAGCTTCTCTCTTCGGTTTGTTCAGTTAAGCTTTGAAAATGAAAGAGAGAAGCTGATTGGTTGCCATGCACAGCTGCTCCAGATTCTGCCTGCTCCAGTATTAATAAATTCCCCTCACTGAATAATGAAATATACACAAACTATTGTACATGTGTTTTAAGAATAGGAAGTCTATAGGGCTTGTGCGCACCAGTCCGTATGCTGGCTGGAGTCCGCTGAGTGCCCGGCGGTGGGGATGGTGCCGGTACTTTGCGTTGTTACAGTACTAGGCTCTGTTTCATTTTTTTTTTAGTTTAAGCTTTATTGAAATTTCAATAAGCGACATTTTCATTCAGCGTATTCAGCGCAACCCAGCTGGAGTGTGGTGACTGGCACTGAGGTGAGGTGCGGAAAAATGCAGCGTGTCCGCAGATTTTTGTACCACAGCCCAACTCACAGCAGCATCATGGTACTGGGAGCAACATTGTTCTTTATATGCTTTTATGTTGACTGGCTTGATCAAGTAATAAACACACACACGTGTATACATACACGTATATACACACACATATATATATACATACATGTATACACACACACACACATGTATATACACACGTATACACACACACATATATATATATATACACACACACATATATATACATACACGTATACACAAGCACACACACACGTATATACACACACACATATACACTAGACATGTGTGATTCGTTTCGTTCCAAATCAAATTTGTAGACATTTTCGGAAATTTGGACACATACAAGTTTCCGAATCCCAATATATCCGAATGTGTCCGAATCCGCATTTCTGTTTCCGAATTTTGGATTCCGTACAAATTTTGTTCAAAAACTAAACTGAATCGGACATGTGACTTTTCTGGCCAATCAGATGTGTTTTTCGCTTTAACGCAACATGGGAACCATATATTGTATATACATATAATACTAAAGCTGAGGCTCCTAGGCCCGAATGGCATTCAGGAGCTCCCAAATGCAATTCGGAATTTCGGATTTCAACTGATGAAGCAGTCATTTTGGATGAGTTTATGAATATTGTTTCGAATACCCCAGAAAACCATATACAGATATTAAGACTAAAGCTGAATCTCCTAGACTCGAATGGCATTGAGGAGCTCCCGAATGCAATTCAGAAATTCGGATTCTGAATGCCATTCAGGTCAGTTTTAGTAATATATGTATTTGGCTCCTAGACCTGAATGGCATTCAGAATCCGAATTTCTGAATTGCATTCGGGAGCTCCTCAATGCCATTCGAGTCTAGGAGATTCAGCTTTAGTCTTAATATCTGTATATGGTTTTCTGTGGTATTCGAACCAATATTCATAAACTCATCCAAAACTAGCGAAAATTCGTATTTCGGCCGAAACCCGAACCAAATCCAATTTCGGAATCGAATTCCGAAATATCCGAGCCAAATTTTTTCGCAGCTTACATGTCTAGCACACACAAACACGTATATACACCTAGGCACAGTCACTGGACTGGATTTTAATGATAAAAGTTAGCGCTTTTCTGAGAAGTGACGCTGTTGCTGTATATTGCGGCACTTGTGGAATTATTGAAGTCTACTATAATAAATGTGAATGTATGTGGCGTAAAATCAAATCTTGTGGAAAGACGCAGCACACAGTCCCGTCTCATTGTGAGAGGATTATCTCTGTATAATGTTGCTAACCTGTAAAACAATAGAAACACCTGTTATGCCAGTTTGCCTTCTCCCGGTTTGTATAGTAATGTCTCCGCAGAGCACATAACAGTACATTAACTCTATAACCGGTGTCACACAATCCACTGTCCTCTCCAATCACATTCTGTTCAATGATCAATACAAATCTGCTCCTCAGTCAGCTAAATGAGTAAAGTGAGCCTTAAAGTGAAATACTCTGCCTCAAATCAGCAAGGGATAGGCAACCTCGGCAGAAACTACAAATGCCATCATGCTTCTGCCTTTGGTATTCATGCCTGTGGCTGTCAGAGTCTTGCAATGCCTCATGGGACTCGTAGTTCCACAACAGCTGGAGGGCTGAGGTTGACCACCCCTGCAATACAGGAAGCCTGTGATTAGCCAGAACATTATTATCGGTGATTCTTTCTGATTTGGTTTCACTTTTTATTGGAACTTCCGGGTGTCAGAAAGCCGGGCAGCGAGTCATTACACTCTGCCCAGCTTCTTGATTGGCCGGGAATTGTTTGAGAGGTGAGAGCACTTGAAGTGCCATTACTAGTTAACGACACCTCAAACACGGCTAATGAAACACAGTCTTCCACTCTGCGCGCGTGCGCACGTTAAAATGCGCACAAGCCCACAGGAAGAAATGCAGAGCGCATATTGCAGAATTTGCTACATGTGCGACTTTTCCCACGTTTGACGTGCATTCCTGTTATGTCTATGTGTGAACAGGGCTTTAAATGTGAACGGGCACAATAGAATAACATGGAAATCTGAGTGGCGAGTATTACAGCGCTTCTGGAAACACGCTTCAAATTACCGTGAATGGTGGCTGTGTGCCAATCACAACATATTATTAGCTGTGAATGCGAAAGGCGTACATTTCCCGGCGTATTTTCCAGTTGCAGGTGCTGTGTACGGCCTTTCGTAGAGGCCAATGGCTGTAAGTGGGTATGTGCCAACCTTGTGCAAACACATGCGTGCTTACAAGCGCATCAGTCTGTGTTCTGGGTTGCGCGCCCATACACATGCGCTGGTGTACACGCAAGACCGTCGTATTCCCATGTACAGCCATTGACTTCTACGAGAGACTGCGACTTAGAAATACGCCACAAATTTACGTTGTACGGGTTCAGCCGCCCGTGCGCATGTGCCCTTTAAATGTGCTCAGAAATGCCACTCTGTGAGAGCTGTTAGAATCCGAACACCATTCGACTCTCCGTGCCAATGAACTTCTCCTACTGCAGCAAAACAAACACTCTGTGAATCAGAGAACACTGGACTCATTGTTGCCTTGCTCAATCCTTGTCCTGCTACACATTTCCCACTTGTCAAGGGTTAACTCCTTGTGTGACTGCAAGCCGGCGACAAAGGGTTAAAGACAGGGCTGAGCGTAAGGTGCCCGTCGTACCCTCCGCCTGCGAGTGCTGTTGGTGCATTCCATAACTGTGCACAAGTTCATTAAAGGTGTGTTCCTTCCACCAAATGGGAGTGTACTGATTGTGTGTGCGAGTGTGTGAGTGTGTGCCTCCTGTCTGCTCTCCCCATTCTATAGTTGTCTCTCCTGGGAGGTCAGAATTCCCAGAGGATTGGAGTGGGAGAACGCGCCAAGCTGTGGAGTACCATGAGGAAGTCATCGACCTCAGGTAAGGAGACCTCCTGTACGCCAATCTGTCACTAATAACTAGGGCTAAAAGTTGATGTCTTACACTGATGAGCCTGTTTGTATTATCTGTATTCAGAATCAGAGGGTTGTCATAGAAAGGAGAGCAGTGGGCAATTTTCCATTCTAAGACTGCGATCTTGCAATCGATTCGGCCACAAATGAAAGTTAGAAGGAATCGCCTTTCGCCTTCACAGCGGATCACATGTCGTGCCTGGCACAAAGCTTGCGCTCTTGATAAATAGAGCTTTCCTTTCCACGTATGGGTAAATAATATGACCATTTCACAGGTCGCTGTTCCTGCTCAGCCTCGTCACTCATTATATGGATGTGGCTTGTAATTACCGACCTCAGGGCAAACTGACAGATATTAGGGATCCTTGGCAGGAAATATTGAGTCAATGGAGATCTTTGGATTCTTTGTAATATTGTTTTAAAGCTTTTGCTAGATATTTTCTTCTCTATAAGTAGTTCCGGCATTATTAAACGTCCACTGGCTTCCTAAAGCTGAACCCCGGGCAAAAAAATATAGTCTGATTAGAAACATTATATGTATTGTTACTTGAATCTTGGTGAGCTTTGTTTATTTCTTCCAGAAATAAAAAACTTACTAGTGTGGTACTTTGAGCTTCCTGTAATAAAGACCAGTCACTGCTGCTCTCTCTCCTTCTGCAGGGTGACTGGTCTTGTATCCGCCCCCTCCTGTAGTTTTTTACATTCAGCCTCTAGTGGGTGGAGCTTCTGGGCCCCTTCTGTAGGTCTACTCTTTGCACAGGCTATGTGCAGAACAATGATCATGTCACCACTACCTTTAAAAGGTGATATCTGCATTTGCAAATGTATTTAGAGCATGCAGAGTGGATTTATATCCCTCATGCTGCTAAACTCTGACCAAACTACAAAATACACCATTGAAAAACATATATGGGAGCTGTTTTTCCTGCCAAAGGGTTTGTAGTCAATCTAGTCGTAACATATACAAGCCTCTGCCACATAGCACAGCCAGCTTAGTGACCTCAGTTTTCTACTCCAGTGACAGCAATACAGCTAGGTCGCCTCCCTGCCACCTGCCTGGAACTGGACAGTAAAAGCACATTCACACTAAGCTCCCATTCACACCTGAGTGTTTAGTTTACGCAGAAAAATGTGCACTTTGACACACGTTTGTGTAACACATCAAAACATGCTGGTTGTGCCATTACTATTATTGGCACCCCAAATGTGGCCAGGAAGATGCACATTCCTCCGCATTTGCATGCATTACAATATGCACAAACATGGTGGAAAACCGCGGAACGCATGTCGCAGATTTTACTGCACACACTACTTTTCCACGTTTTTGTCGTGTGTTCAGGACGTGTGGCAAACAGAGAAAACAAACACATAGGAACGTGTGCGAAGCAACGCGCATTCCCACTACACTCATATGTGAATAGGGATTTAGTCGTAGTGTTAGTTGCACAATAACGTGGGATTAACGCACACTATCGCACAGAGAGCCTAGCATGTGTTACCGTGCGCTAGGTGCACTGCATTGTCATTCATTTGAATGGCACTCCAACGCACCTCCCAGCTGTCTGTAATGCAATACAGTGCGTTGCAATTGAAAAAGTAATGCATGCACTACTTTTTGTTACTGCAGCACCAGGAGCGTTATTGCAGTACAGCACGTTGCATTGTCAGGAGGTGTGTTAGGTGCCATTCAAATAGCGCACAGTAACACGCTAAATGCTCTGTACGATAGAGTGCGTTAATTGCACAGTATCATAGGAATAACAATAGGCTTAGATATGAATGGGCCCTAATGGAGCAGCAGCTGACTACTAAGGTCAGCTCTTTGCTCTATCCACATTTCAACATTTTCCTTCTCAGCTTACCTGATCGGCCCCAGTTATCCCTCCCTTTTCCCTGAGTGCTGCTGTGCAGGGGATTACAAGAAGCTGATATCAAGTCAAATTAGGGTTTTTATATTAGTTGCATAAATACATTTATTGATATTCAATAAATACATAATAGTGATTTATTGTGCTTGAACGCACAATGTTCAGTTAAGTGCAACTGACCGCTAGCCCATGCTACTTGTGTAGCTGAAACCATAGAGAGCGATTTGTTGTATTTACAATGCAATGACAAAGTACAAAGTGCAGGAATTCACAGTGATAAATCAGACTCATAGCAGAGTTTATTATGGTCATATCAATGAAATGATTACCCATTGCTTGTGCAATCTTCAAGGCTTTGATCATGGAACTGCAATATTAGTTGACTGGATTGTCCATTTTTGTTGTGATTGGGTGACAATCTATGGGAGGCCCCCAACACCCCTTTGTTGTCTGGGAGAATAATCAATCTAGAATAAAATAGGCAGGATGATATTGCAGCTATTTTACCCTTCCCCCCCCTCCCTCAGCATAAGGGGTACCGGCCACATCAGCATGCACTGCTTAGCTTTCCCTGCTCTACTCTCCATTGGCATGAACAGGAAAATTTAACACAGCCAAATATTCCTGTTCATGGAGCACTCCTGGCCGGTGCCAGAGAGCAATCATACCTGTATAAATGACCACTAGGGATGAGCTCAGATTTGGACTCAATCTAATCCAAACCTGAGCTCTTCTGAAAAAGGAAGTGCCATGGGCACTTCCACCCAATCAAATTCAATACAGGCACCCCCCCAGCTGCATGTAAACAAAGGGGCGGGATGCCTGTGCTGATGTCATTTACCTAATATGGCCACATAGCCATATTAGGTAAATGTCTTGTGCAAAAAATAGACATGTGACCATATAAGGTTAATTACATCACATCTTGCTTTGCTTACATCAAGCTGTGGGAGGGGAATTCCCTGCCAAATATTTCTGTTCATGGAGCACTCCTGGCTGGTGCCAGAGAGCAATCATACCTGTACAGCTGACCACTAGGGATGAGCTTGGGTTCAGACTGAACCTGGTCCAAACCTGAGCTCTTCTTAACAAGGAAGTCCCATGGGCACTTCCACCCAATCAGCTCTGGTATGAGCATTTCCTGCCCCGCAGCTGCATGTAAACAAATGGGCAAGATGCTTGTGCTGACATAATTTACCTAATATGGCCACAAAGTCATATTAGTTAAATGTAATTTACCAAATTTAGGCATGTAGCCATCTAAGGTCAATGACATCACTGCATCCTGCCTTTGCTTGTGGGGATTTCCCACCAACAGCTGATTGGGTGGCATGGAGGGAGCTTCCTTTTGTGTTCAGGAACGGCTCCTTCTGGGTTCGGAGGAGTTCAGGTTTGGACCAGGTTCGGTTCCGAACCTGAGCTCATCCCTACTGAACACCATTATATGTGTGTGGGCCTTCAGTGTACCATCAATGATAGACATTTGTATGACTTTATACTTGTAGTCATACTTTATACTTATAGTCATACGTTATACTTTTGTTGTCACTTAATAGTAAGGCATACTTAAACTAAACCTGTCAAATCTAAGGCATACTTAAACTAAACCTGTCAAATCTAAGAAATTCAAACGCATGCAGAAAAATACATAAGCAGAGGTTACCCTTAGCGAACCTTCAGCAAGTCAAAGCAACCAGTAGATCCAGAGATATAGACAGCTGATATTATAAGCAAGTTGGATCTTGGGCCCACCTCCCCCCATCTCCCCATTGAGCCATTAATATGATTGGTGGCCTCACTGAATAATCAGGAGGTTTGGCTGTTGAAAGAGGCAGATTCAAGCTCAACTTTCAAAAAGTCTGGCTTTGCACGTAACTAGAGCCGCCTGTATCTCCTGATCCACGGGTTGTTTTGATATGAGATTATTGTTCAGGCTCCCCTCTGCTTGTGTATTTTTTCACCATGTGTTCCATTTGAATTGTTCAGATTTCTATGTTTGCTTTAAAGTGTATCTGAAGAACAGCTTGTCAGGGCTTTTCTTGCTGTCTGTTTGTCAACGGGGAGATTTTCCTTAACTTCCTGTCCCAGAAACACTATAGAAAAAGGAAGGAAATATCGGCATAACCATAGTGAGGGGTAATCCACTCATAGCCCCTGTTCATACCTGGGCAATTTGACACAGTTCGGCAGTCGCACAATGCATGACAAAAGGAATCCCATTATTTTCTATGGGTCCTATTCACACAACACACTTCCACGTAACTTGTAAAATGGCGCAGGCGCTTCTTGGTGTGAAATTTAGAGGGTAATTCACAAAGCTGCTGAAGGATACAGCCAGCTTCGGCTGATCCTTCGGCTTGCTTCAGTTGCGGAAGCCCTTCGGTTCGACTGAACTGGCTGCTGTACGGGCTGTTCACTATAGCCCGTACAACAGCGCAAGGCGGCTGGGCGGCCCAGCCGAGCCGAAGGCATGTGCTTTGGCTTGACTGAGCCGAAGTGACAGCCGAAGTGGGGCGAACGGCCTGCCGAAGGCCGGCCTTTCTCACCGCAAATGACAGCTGGGCAGAGCCAGGCGGGATCTCACAGTTGGCGCCGCCCAGTTGTATTGACAGATCAGCGCCCCCAAATGACCCGGGGACGCTGAACTGTCAGTAAACAATAACAACTGCCCAGTTGTTATTCATTGGCATGGACCTGCTAGAAGACTCTAGCAGGTGCCGGCCAATAGGAAACAGTTGGGCGGAGCTAGCTGTCATTGCTATCACTGATAGCAATAATTTTTTTTCTTTTTAAAAAATCTTTATTTTTACATTTTACTATTTATTTACATTTGTAAACTTTTTTCAACCTTTTTTTCCCCGGCTATTTTAATTTATTTTCTATTCCGCACGGTACCACAGAGGTACCGAACAGAATGGCCAAGCCGAATGCTGCTCGGCGGCATTCGGCTATTTACTCTCTGCTGTTCGGCCCCTATGTGAATAGGGGCGAACAGCAGCGAGTGAGCTGCCAGAGCTTAGGATCAGCCGATCCAGCTGTGGCTCAGCCGAAGTGGAGAGCATGTTCGGCTGACCAAAGTGCAGCCGAAGGCAGCCGATGT